CTGGCCAATTAGTATTCCACATCATGCAGCCCAGTATAACAGTGAGGGGCAGCCGGACAGACGGGCTTTGGCGCTTTGGCTCTTTCGCCGCTTTTGCTCTTTCGCGCTTGCTGCGCTGTTGCTCTATTGCTTTGCTTTCTTTTTCTCTCTCTCCCAGCACTCCCACTCTCGGAGTACTCTCTCTCTCTCTCTCTCTCCTCTCTATTTCGGGGCCTCGCGTTCGTCCGGGATTGCAGCTTCAGGACGAGACGGGCTTCGCATACGAGGAGGTGGTGAGCATCTACACTGTGTATTAAATCGTCTGTATTAAATTGTTCATATCTCAGCCCACGGGTTTCCTGTTTCTCCTTTAATTCCCTCCCTCATTCCTGGGGCTGGGGGAGGGGGAGTGACCGGCTGTGTGGGGGGGTTCAACCTAACCCATGACACTCAGCTGTTCACCCAGCTTTATCTCAGGCTTCTGCACCCATCCAGCCTTTGCTGCTGCCTTTCCCAGCCGCTGTACTACCGTGTTCTTGGGCTGCATTTCTCCTCCCACAAACATGTGTTTTCCAGGAACTGAGCTATGAACCCGGCTCGTACACCCCTTTCAGCCTACTGGGAAGTGACCTCCTCCATGGCTGCAATTTTGGCCTCTGCTGGGAAATTCTTGTGCACTTGTGCCGGTCTGAGGTCAGGCTGGTCACCTGCAGACCAAGTGTTTTCAGACCCATATCGGCCGTGCCGATACCCAGCGTGCCCCGATACCCAATGTGCCCCAGGCTTCTCTAACTGTCCTTCATCACTAATGTGAAGTCGATGCCTCTTGTGATGCAGCCTCTGGATGTGCTGAGGGTTTCCGTGGTGTTTTTAAACCAAGCTGCTGTGCCTGGGGATGCTCTCCAGCTGTCTCGTGCCATCCACAGAGACCGCGGCAAACTCCTGCACCTTAATTTGCTCTACTGCAGGGCTCTCCCCACTTTCCTTGTCCAAAGTGCCCCGAGACGGTTCTCAGGGGCCTCTCTGTGGTATAGAAACTTGACTTAGAAACTTGAGCCAGCTTTTATTCAGTGAATCCTGGAGTTTGGGAAGCTGCAGGGGAGGGAGTTTGGTTAACTCTAGCTTGTTGATGGAGGCAGACAAGTAGGTTCTGGTATAAATAGGCTTCTTGTAGGGTTGTGACCCCCTTCCTTCCCCTTCATTCCACCAGCATCTCACTCCTTTTTTTCCCACAGTCTCCTTCCCCTTTTTTGTGACGTTTCTGCAGTTGTTTTGTGGCTGCCAAGCTCTCAGGCAGTTTAATTTTCTTTTTGTAGATCTATATTGAGTTGGATTTGCGCTACCAGCCTCCAGACGGCTCAGCTGGGACCTGGGTTGAAGAGGACTTTGTCTATCAGATGAAAGACAGGTACTGAAATCCTAGGAGGAGCAAATTTCCAGGCAGCTTGTACAGCTGTCTTTGCCAGTGGCAGCCTTTGGGATGTGATCCAGCCTCGTTTGCTCTCCACCTTTGGCCAGGCTGACGCATCCCTGCTCTACAGCAGCAATAAGTGAGCAGGGCTCTTGGAAAGAAAAACACCTTTTGGACTCGAGAGCATTTCCGCAGCCTTCCTGGCTGACAGGAGAAGAGACACTGGTTGCAAAGTTGCAGAGAGGGTGGCTTTGGGCCGTAGCAACCTCAAGCACCCTGCACACAGGTGGTGCCCAAAGCCCGAGGAGATGTGGTTGTCCAGGTGGGCAGGCTGACAGGCAGCAGCAAGGTTTGGGGAGTGCCACTTCTGGAGTGCCAGAGGCAGCGCAGCAGGTGCACAGGGTGGACAGGGAAAAACATTGCTTAGGAGGATGCTTCTGTCCCTGCCACGAGCCAAGCAGGAGCATGGCTGTGGCACTGTTACACAGAGGCATCGGTGAACAGCCACAACACACTTGTTTTTTCAGCAAACTTCTGTTTTTCTTACAGTTCAGAGTTAATCATCCGCAATCGTGGATTTGAGGAGCTGGAGTAAGTAGCCCTACTTGAGCGTATCAGCTCACCCTCCTGCGTGGAGGGGGGTGCACAAGCCGCTGGTCGGGGCTGACGCTGCGGCGCGGGATGTGGCGGGGGGTTCGCAGGGCAGCCGAGGGACCGAGAGCGAGCGAACTGGACAGGAGAGCCACCACGCTGGGCAGGAAACTGGCGAAAGGCCTGGAGACTGATGAGGAAGAGGAAGAGGAGGAAGAAGATTTCTACGATGTGTCTGAAGTGGAGGTCTCGGGCATTGTCTTCAGCCCTGTGAAGAGGTATCCATGGCGTGCTCTTCTCTCTTGCCTCTGCCTAGGCCCTGGGATGGAAAGTGCCAGCTCATGGGGTGATTTCTGGGGGAATCCTGCATCTCTTGGCATTCTGCTTCTGCAAAATGTCAGAAACCTTCGATCTCCAATGGCCCCAAACAGGGACTGTTGGGGATTTGCTCGTTCCCAGGGCAAGGAGCCATTATTTGCCAGGGTTTCCATTGCTTCCCTTGGTGGGGACTTGCTCAGGTCCATGGAAATGAAGAGACCTGCTCACTGGAGTTGTTTTTCTGTGCAGCCGCTCCAGACTTTGCTCCGCACGGGATCTCTTTGCCACTCCAACCCCGCAGAGCTTCCAGGTACTGCAGCGTTGAGCGCGCATCCCTGCAGCTGCCTCTGGCCCCGCAGCTGGTCCCTCGCTGCCTGGGCTTCTCTGGTTGCCACACACCCCAGTGAGGCCTCTGGCATGAAGACGCCTTCTTGCTTCGTGTGGCTTCCCTGGGCAAGGTGTGAGATTCCCTGAAGGAATGGCATCCATGAGTGTTGGCTCCCACTAAAGCCAGCCCAGAGCAGGATTTCTTGTTGGGCCATGTAGTTAGCTATGGATATACAGGAGAAGGGAGTCGGCGTGAGAGCCATGTGTGCCATTGCAGAATGCCACCTGAGCAGAGCTTTGGAGGGCACCTAGGCACGGCTGGTGCCTGCCAGCTAACCCATGGCACTGCCTGGGCCCCCAGGGACATCTGTGGGGCACGATTGGCGCTGCTGGGCTGCTGCAGGGGCTTTCTTGGAGATGCCAGGAGGCTGGTATGAAGCTGTGTCTCTGGCCCGTGCTCTGACATCAGGTTTATTCAAAACCACTGTGAAATTTGGAAATGGAATTTAGTCCCATCTTTTGCCCTGTAGCTTTCAGGGCAGGTCTCCCAGCCTGGCTATGGATTTAAAGCCTTTCCTGGTTCTAGGTAAACGTGGACTCATGTTTGGGTCTCCTGCTTTTCAGGACTGGGTCCCATACTCCACCTGTGTCAGAGGTGGAATTTTCTACCACCCTTTTCTTGAAGCTCCTGCCTAGTTGCTTGTACTGAGAGCAAACGTGAGATCGTTTCTCCCATGTCTTAGGCCCATAACCAGTCACAGCAAATGAGACAGCTGCATTCCAGTCTTTCCAATGGTGTCCATCTCAGCAGGATTCAAAGAGAAGTATTGACAGAGGATGCACCAACACCATGTGGGAGCAGTGGGCTGCATCTCCTTGGGATCAGGAGCCGAGCGGGGACAGTGCTGCTGGCGGGGCAGTGCCTCTGGGGATTTCACACTTCGTTCCCTCGCTTGTCTGAGAGAAACAAATATCCCAAATACCGGTTTGGTTTGTCCTGGCTACAGCAGATTTCAGAGCCGTGCTCTTGCTTGCCCTGAGCATTCCCCCTGCGGCAAGAAGGCCCTGCACATTTGTGTACTGGTATTGCTGAAACAAACTCAAGATGGAGCTGCAAACGAGGAGAGTGCTGATCTGAGGGTTTTCTCTCACATTTTCTCAGGTTGGGATTAATATCATTGAAGCGCAGAAACTGGTGGGGGTGAACATTAACCCTTTTGTGGTAGTCAAGGTTGGAGAGGAGAAGAGGCACACGGCGACGCAGAAGTCAACAAACTGCCCCTTCTACAACGAGGTATGTGATACGGACAGAGGCTCTGTCCTCGGCATACCGGCTTCCCCAGTGGCTGGGGCCATCCTTGCAGGGGATGCTCGGGATTCAGCTGCTCTCAGGCAGAGACGCTTGTGGGGCCATGTTGGGAGCCCAGGGGTCAGCTGTCTTGCTCTTCTCTTTCAGTACTTTTTGTTCGAGTTCCATGAGCCAAGGGACATTTTATTCCACAGACTCATAGAGATCTCGGTAAGTATGTTCTCTTCTTTATCCTTTGTCGGTAACTAGTACAGCCCAATGCTTCTGCATGTGGATGCTGGGAGTGATGGGCAAAGCAAGGGTACCAGTACTGGGCAGATTTTCCAGCCAGAGGCATCTGCCCTGCAGAGAGACCAAAGGACCTTCCTGTGGCCACGGTGGGTAGAGACCGGCCCCACTCTGAGCCAGCACTGGGCAGTGCTGCCTTCCCACCTCCTCTGTGTCAGGTTTTTTCCGCATTCAGTGACTGAAGTGGGGCTTCTGGGGCAGTTTCTTGCCTGTTATTGCCTTGCTGCTCTGCTGTGATGGGGGGGGGTTCCTGCTGCCTCCCTTGAGCCTCATCCTGCAGGTTGTGGAGGTGAATGGCTGGTGCGAGCGGCGCTCAGCAGTGATTTGTGCTTGTGGAAAAGCCCAGGCAGGCAGAGAGCAGTCTTCAAAAGTCCCCTGGCCCAAAGCTCAGGGGCTTCTACAAATCATGGGGCTTTTCTGAAGATAGCTAAACCCAGCCAGCACCTCCTTCACCACATGATCTCCAGTGCTTCCCCTGTGAAAGGCTACATGTCTCTTCTGCTGATGTGGGTTCAGCAAGCACTGAGAAAGGGCTAGGTTCTGGGAGAGACACTAGCCTGGTGGGGCATGGCTCTGCCCTGACCCGGCAGGATGCAGACATAGGACTCTCTGCGGTAAAGCAGGTCTGCCCTTGGTCCGTTGTAGGGGTTTGACTTACGTGAGGCTGGCAGAAGAAGCTGAATTTGTTGCACATGAATTTGCCTTGGCCCAGGTTTGATTGAGGGCTAGGGGCTGGTGGATTTTGTGGGAATGGTTGGACAGGAATGAGTTGGACAGGAATGGGTTTGTCCCAGGGTCAACTTGGATAGGTCAATGTGCACGAGGAGCTTGCAACTGCTGCCTGAGCTGTGCGTTGGAATGGGCATCTCTTAGCAGTCCTGTCCTCCTCAGAGATGTCTGGATGTGTCTCCTGGCTGCCCACATCTCTTGGTTCTCAGGGGGATTTGTGCTGTCTGCAGGTTTTTCACTCAAAGATGCCATTCCTGGGAACATGTATAGGAACATTCAAGATGGATGTTATGACAGTGTACAACCAGCCAGGTATGACCGACCACGCTGTGTACCTGCTCCCTGACTCCAGCTTTGTCTGATGTTTCCTTTGGGCTCTGCTGGATCTGGTGAGGGCCCTATCTTTAAAGCCCTTAGCTCACATGAGGACCAGCACTTGCTTCTCCTCCTGGCTGTCTGAGGGCTGGTGACACCTCCTGCACCTTCAGGGCAATCTTTGCGCAGACGTAGTTGGGATGTGAAATGTGTCCCCTCCACCGGGAACTCCTTCCCTTCCCTCTCAGATCACAAGTTTTTCCAGAAGTGGGCTGTTATCAGTGACCCCATGGACACCCGGGCAGGCGTGAAAGGATTTGTGAAGTGCAACATCTCCGTCACCGCACGTGGGGACATTGTGGGCTCCCTTCCCACCTCCTCCAGCAGCCGAGATGAGGACATTGATAGGTAGGTGCAGTGTGGTCTCCCATGGCCCTGGGGAAAACAGTCATGTTTCTCTTCACTCTACCTTTTTACCCCATTTTTCCCAAAGAGACCTATGGTGGGCCAGGATCCAGCCTTCTGCCAGTCAGGACATTTCCCAGCATCGTGTTTCCTGGGCTCCAGGAGAGAGCCAGAACATGAATTTGTCTTTCAGGAACCTGCTGCTGCCTAAGAGAGTCCCTGCAGAGAGACCCTGGGCCAGGGTCTGCGTCAAGCTGTATCGTGCCGAGGGCTTGCCCAGCATGAGCGCGGGCATCATGGGTGGTTTCTCCAGGATCATAGGGGAGAAAAAGGTCTTTATCAACCCTTACGTGCAGGTCTCGTTCTGTGGGCAGCAGGTGAGTCTGCGGGGAGGTCTGCCTGGGGCCAGGCCGATAGTCCTTTGGCT